CCCCCCCCCCCCCCCCCCACACACACACACACCTTGCACCCCTGCTCATTCTTCTCCATGGGACACGAAAACAGTTCGCGAGAAGAAGATGGCACTATTGTGCAGAGGCCACTCCTGCAACATTAAGAAGGCATTAAGGCCTCGCCAGGGCTTCCGCTATCTTCATCAACGCCTCGCACAACATGCGCTACCCTGCGTCCAACACTTCACACTGTGTCTCCTGCACTTTCACCTCCATCTCCATTATATCACACTGCCGTTGGAACACGTCGCATTGTCTCTTGCTTGCCCTGTCCACGGAATCCACAACGACAGTAGAGTGTGCGCTCATCACATCGGTGACCGCCTCAAATGCCTGTTGGCGTGCATTTTTTTTTTTCGAAAATTTAAAACCTCCGGATGATCTGCTTCCTGATCCCTGCCCCCCGCTCGCCTCCCCATTCTCGCTCGCAGATGTTTCTCCTCCCCCACCGTTTCCCCCTCCTTGCAGTTGAGACACGCCGGTATCCACCAGATTCGGTGGGTGAATGGTCTGGTTGCCATGCTGACCCGCATCGATCGCCTCGAACAGACGACGATCCGTTTGGAACTTATACCCTTCCTCGTTTCGCTGCTTTGGCGTGAGAGTGAAGAAAGATTGCTTGACTGACTCCTTCTCTCTCAACTGCACTTTCTTGTACCACGAGAAGATATTCTCCCACCGTTTCATGCACTGGTCCCAATCTCTCTTCACCCCCAACGCCCCCATGCGGTTGGCGACGTCCGTCCATTTCCATTCTTTGTTCTTCATGCGCACGAAGTTGTGTCCAGCGGCCGCCAAGGCCTCGTCTTGATCCCGCTTACAACGGACAAGAGTGAGGGAATCGTCCAGATTCCATATAGTTCGCCCTCCGCTGCCTGCCTTCCCTTTACCCCGCCCCTTCCAAATCCCTTTCTTCGCAGGTGTCTTCTTGTGGCCGCTTGATGGCGGGGGAACTTCGTCCTCCATCTCCTCTTCCTCTTCTTCCTCCTCCTCTACTTCATCCACGTCTTCACACATGTCATCGTCAACCCCGCCCTCCGCACCTCCGTCACCATCACTTGTCGTACGCATTGTGGACACAGGTGCGATGATGTGTTCCACCACATTCGCCTCTTTGCTCTCCGCTCGCCCCCCCGTCGTTGCAGCGGTCCCCCGACCACCGCCGGGAACTCTCGGGAGTGGCCCGCCCACTCCGCCGTTATTCACTGGAAACGCCGGCTGCTGCACCCCGACAGTGATCGATCACCGTCCCTCGCACCCGATCGAGGGCTCGCCTTGAGATAGGCCACTGGGAGATCCGGTCGTTGCATCCCACAATCGGAGATGGACTGCGTCGATCCGTACGCCAGGGGGACGGCAGACGATGGTGGTTCCCATGACTTGTCGTCAGGCAGTGGCTGTTGCCACGACGGCAGGTGCGCATACAGGGCCGGGTTGAAACGGCGCATGCCCGACGACCGTTGATCGCCCCCACCCCCCATGTCGTACAAGAACTGCTCGTGCCTATCACTGCCTGCCATGCGTCCTTTTTGCCCGGACTGCTTCACCACTTTCGTCGTTTTCCGGCTCCGAGGTAGATGACGGAGCCGCAACAATGAGCAGAAGTGCACTAAGCAGGACGAGGAGGAGGAGACAAAGTAAAATCATCTTCCTCACGTCGTCGGCCATGCAAGTGCTCGCAGAGCGAAGTAGGAGGCAATGTCGACAGTGTGGCTCCGGAGTTGAGTCCCGTTGTCTTGTAGTACAGACCACATCACTCACGCTGTCGTGTGCACCCCAATGACCACCACCCACCCCTCCCAACCCCGGCCCTTCCCCTCCCTCCCCACACGAACTTTTGAATTTCAAAAAACGATAACCGCCCAACGGACTTCGGTAGCGCGACAACGACCTTAAATGCCCTAGGTACCGCTGCCGGGACAACGACTTTAACGGCCGCGGTACCACTGCTTCTACCGGACACCACCAACGGAAGGTTTGCAGATCTACGCGTGGCCACAAACGAAAACCAGCCGTGGACCTGGAACAATCGAAAATGAACATGAAAAAAAAAAACAAATAAAGTACCCGGTTTCTGCGACTGTCGTAAGGGTCCGCTCTGGAACTCAAGGTACCTCCGGGAGGTGACTTGAGTTCAAGTGTGATTTTGCCTGTGTCGCCCTTGAGTTTCGAGGGCGCGCCCTTGGGAGGTGGCGTGGAACGAGGCTCTAAATCCAGGGCCTACCTACCGCGCAAGTTCCTTTCAGGAGGTCGTGGGTTCGATTCACATAGCCGCCTACAGTCGTCCCCCAAACATAACGCACCCTGATAATGAATGTATACAGACTATGGGGCTCGTTAGACACTCCTATTGAAATCCTTGGACAAAAGGAAAAACTCCTTTTGGTTCAAAAGGAAATTTGGGCTTTGGGCCCTTCGTTCCACCTGTCCTCGGGGACGTCGCCCCAGGACATTTCCGTCCCGATGCAGTCAAAATGATGGTGCGTTGTGTTCGGGGGAAGACGGGTAGGCAGGGTTGGTACCACCAACCGAGATACTCAGCCCGATCCTCCTGGTCGGTATTAGTAGGGTCCTTGCCAACAAGGGGGGTGTGGGGGAGAGGGAGTATGAGTGGGAGTGGGAGTGGGAGTGGGAGTAGGAGTGGGAGTGGGTTGCGTGTGGTGTGTGGGAGAGTGTTGGCCTTGCTGCTACTCGATGGGGGATGATGAAAAAAGGGAGGTGCAGCTACCGGCAAAATGCTGGTCTATGTGTTAGCACCCCCCCTCCCGCCCCCCCCAAACCCTGCACCCTAAACCAGGGCAGGGGGCAAGGAGCAACATGCAGCACGTGCTGGAAACTGGGCCCAGGGCCCAGAGTCACATATGTTACATGCTGCGCCTGCAAAATCTGCATGATCCTAGCGGCGACTACGTCCACAGCCTTGAGGAAAAATCCTAGTGTGCGTATGCCCTTAAGCCATTTACCAATCGTCAGCCAACACATGCTGGGAGACGGGCACCGCGTAGTGGTAGGTAGGGAGTGGGCGGTGAATTTGAGAGATGATCAAAGAATTTGAATCGGCCTTAAAAAAAAGGAAAAAAAAAAAAAAAAAAAAAAGAAAGAAAAAGAAAAGAAAAGAAAGAGAGACCTGCCAGTTCTACAGGCCTGTACCTTTCTGGGCATGCTTGGCGCCCGCCACCTAGAGATAGACCCTGTCTCTTATACACATCTAGATGTGTATAAGAGACAGCCACTGGATCCCCCTATAGGCATTGAAATAGTCTGCTGACGTACGTTGGGGGGGGGGGNGGGGGGACCACCACCTGAGGGCAGGCACAGGGATTGGTCATGTTGGCATGGTCCCTGATGTATCGCCCACCTGCAGGTCGGGAGCAGCCCCCGCATGTTCTCTCGTGAACAAGGTTCTGGCTGCTATGGGGTTCCTATGATCAGGAGTAGTGGTAGGTAGGTAGTGTGAGGTGAAATTGAGAGAAGAATGTAGCTTACTTCAGGGGAAAAAAAAAAAAAAAACCTGTATTTTAGGAGGCAGCTGTACTTTAGTAGGATTGAGGTTGTGGGTTCAAAACCCTGCACCCTCAAGTGGAATACAGCTGTACTTTAGTGGATATGGCAGTACATGTCCAGACCAAATGCAGATAAAAGAGGAAAATCATACGCCAATGATGATGCCAGATCACTCAGAAGAGAGTCATAGAGTTGGGCCGCAGGCCCACACACCGCGGAAAAATAGAGGGTGGGTGGGGCTGCTTCGCCAAAATTGGCGAGTGAAAAACTACCGCTCCTCCAATCACCTGGCTGGCTGGCGTGATGTGATGTGCGGATTTGCATGCGTGATGGGCGCTGCAGTGGGGGGCGCACAACGGAGAGCGCACAACGCGAATCTTCTCAACCTGCGGCGAACGGTCCTGCTCCGATCACTTATACAGTGGCGGCTCCAGGAAGCAGTGGAGGGAGAGTCAGCGAGAGTGTGCTGCATCCCGGGTGAGTCTCAGCGAAATGCCCAAACTTCATCTTTGATGTTGAGTCCCACTCGATCCCACCGTAGATCCAGACGAATCAGATAGTCAATAGGAATCCAGAAACTTCTCAACACACATTGCCCGATGATGATGAGAATCGAAGGCTGAAGAGGTCTCAAAAAGAGAGTGCAATGCCCGGCGGTGAGAATAGACCACTGCAAACTGAATTGAACCGTCCAACCGAAAGAGGTGAAACTGGGGCCCTCCAGCTAGAGACCAACGCGGAGGGACGGAACAGGGCAAATGTTGTCCAGGCCAAAACCAAATAAAAGAGGAAAATCATACGTCAATGATGCTGCCAGATCACCCAGAAGAGAATGGAAGCCTGTGGATCATTTGACCACCTTCTGTTTTCATCTCCATTGACGCCTTTGCCTCACAAATTGCAGCCATCATCAAAACCATAAGTTCTCAACCTCTCAATTTTAATGAATGTTTACCCCCACACCTACTTCATTCTTCCTCTACCCACAGGGAACTCTTTGCAATTCTCCAAGTTTTTCTGTTGCTCTCCTTTAATCACTCACCCCTCCTCCTTTCCTCATCAATCAGACTTCAGTCGGATAGCCAATCCACGGTGGCCGTCCTATCCATGATACAATTTTCTGATTCCATTTTCAACCCCTGGCTTCAGTACCTTTCCACGATCCTTCTCACCTTCGATGTGTAACTAACACCGGTCTGGATCCCCAAATCCCTCAATCAAGAAGCTGACGACATTTCCAAAACTGAGGACAACTTCGATTGGGGCCTCGCTGACCATGAACGCGTCAAAATCTTCAGTGAAAGAGGAACATCGGCCATCGATCACTTTGTATCCGATTATCACCCCTCGTCTCCTATTTTGATTTCTCACATTTGGTCTAGGCAAGCCTCTTTTATTGTTGCATTTTCAATTGATTGGAATATTCTTCCTCGCTTTCCCTACCGTTGGGTTTTCAACCAATTCCCTCATCCACTCGGTCTTGTCTCACATGCAATCATGTCCCGCTTTATAGCTTATTATTCATCCTTCCTCTTCAAAAGCAAGCTTGTAGGATTTTGACTGTCTTATTTTCAGGGACCTTGATACGCTTATCACGTGAATCAACGATGAAGCCTAAAAACTTGATTTGTTAATTTGGGAGGGAAAAAAAACAAGATTGTGTAACAAAGCAACAAAGTTGAACGCATGTCAAATAAGCAAAGGGATATGGGGGTTGGCGATAGCTAAGTCGTCGATATATGAAGTGACCTTTCCTGATCTCAATTCGACGATGATTTCTTGCATGACAGTTGTGAAGATGCAGCAAGCAGTTAAGACACGAAAACAAAGTATCTTGAAATGGAAGAACTCACCATTCTATTAAAAAGCTAAATAGGGTCAGTGAGTGGGGCGGATTGGGAGCATAAACGGAAGAGTCAGACAAGGGAGTCACTAGGTCGTCAATTGACTCATAACGGAACTCTGGGTAGGAAAGTTAACAAATCTGACATCCAAGATAAAGCGAGTTTTGGAGCAGCTTTCAGTTGCGAGTACGGGGTTGATTACAATTGTGGAGGGGAAATGCTCATGGACTCCAAAGGCTAAGAGTTGGGAGACTGTTGAAGAGATGAAGGCATAATGGTGAGAGAGAACGTGGTGGTTGGGAATCGTGAGAGGAGGAGGGAATTGGAGTTGCATAGCAGCCTTGAAACGAGAAGAGGGTGGGACAATCTCAAACAATCTTCGAACTTGAATGATCTTTGCGGTAGGAATGTGCTTAGTGCGAACAAAATTGAGTTTGACGCCATGCTGAATTCATTGAAGACCATAATGAGAGAAATGTCTGCAAGAAGTGGAGAGAACCTGATTGCGATTTGAGAAGGAGGAAAAGGTCGAGGCAACAAAGAAGTTATCAGAGGAGCGAAGCCAAAAGATAGAATTTTAGGGAGCGAAGATGGTGAGATAAAAATCTTTTATTAAGGGGGATAAAGAAAGATTGAAGAGGATTTTGATGATACATGGGATGGATAATCATTGAGTTGTTGGCTCTTCCTTTTTTTTGTTGGCGTTGTCAGATCTTCGAGAATCGGATTTGGAGTAAGCATGCTTAGAGGCTCGATCGGATTCATAGCCCTTGTCACGATTGTCGTAGTAAGACTTAGAGAAAGAGAGTTTGTTGTCATTTTTCCTGAAAGATTCGCCCTTCTACGATAATTCAAATTGTCCTCAAGATAGCCACGTTCCGCCTTGCAGATGAGTAAAATAAT